ACTTACTAAGGCTCCGCTACTAATGCCACACAGAATGTGTTGGATATTAGACATTGAATTATTAAACATTAAATTTCTCCCAACCCCCATAGTTGGCTGGAAATAAAGTGTTTCATAGGACATCAATAGATACCTACCCGTGCATTGAATGGAGTGGGTGTGGCTCATAATGGTACCGCCCCTCGTGGTGCCGCATGTCAATCGGGATAGGTGTGTGAAAAGTGGGGAAAAGGTGGTGCGCCCCTGCAAACACAAAAGACAGAGAAGCGTTAGAGAACAGCATTTCTTAACGCTCGCCGAAAAACTGGAATACAGTTACTGATTAGTGGCCGTTCCATTTTACAGTTCACATAATGCAGGAGTAATTAAAACCGACCCATATGTGCCTGAAGAACCTTCATTAACTGCTCCCTCTCCGCCCAATAAGACCAAAGCAAGTTTTACACAACAATGAATGCTGCTTTATGTGTCAGACCAAAAATGCATGAATCTGCCATTTCCTGCCATAAATGCTCTGATGGCTCAAGGGAAGTCTCATTAGAACAGCCGTTTTTCATTAATTACTGTCATTAGAGCAGCAGATCATAGGAAACTTTACCGTCATGATTTAAGGAGGAGGAGAGGTCTAATCACACATAAAGGCTGGCTAATTCTCTCCACTTTAAAATGTTTACATCTCAGATCTTTGATGGAGAAAAATATGCCGTATCTCATCGGGACTTTTTGTGAATCTGACTGGCAAATCCAGTTGTTTGTTCACTATAAGAGGAAAAAGACAAAGTGCCGTGCAGCTCCACTGGGCCGATCCCAGGGAATAAAAAAAGGAGTTCTGTCCTCACAAGGACAAGTAAGCCCAAGACCAGAAGGGTTAAAGGTCAAAGCAGATCATTATCTCAGCCTAAGAAAAACACTGGCATCAAGTGTCAGGAGGAAACTGTTGTAGCACCAATGGGATGACAAGCAATATTCACTCATGTTCAGCCCAAATTAAACCAGTGCAAGAACGTCTTCATCACTTTTTTTTTTTAATTTCTGTCACCGGGCAGAAGTTCTGCAGTTTCACCTGTTAGTGAAAAATGTTTTTTTTAAACATTTAAGCAACAGTTGTGTGTATAGTGTATAAATATAATATCATTTCATTCAGTGTTTGCATTGTTAACAACACCTTTCTCTATGAGATGTGCCTCAGGTGTGCTAATTCACTTTAGCCAGCACTGTGAAAACAAGGTGTGTAACAGGACTCTGTGCCTGCAGGCTATGGCTAAATACTGGATGTTGTTTTTAGGCGACGGCAGTTACAAAGACAGACATTAACCCTAATAGAGCCTTTTGTTAGTGTGACTGAGGCAATCATTGTGATGTTGCACCATCTTGTTCTGGGTTAATTTGGATTGGCTCACACATGATCGGTGGAGGACAGGTTCCCTGAAGGCAGCTCTGAACTGTATAACATTTGACAGGAGTGGAATTTTTTTAAGACCACGCATTAACGCTCAGCGATTATTTTACCCTTTGAAAACAGACTTTAGACAGGCCCGGTTTACTGAGGCATCGCCCTAACGACGCTGTTGAAACCATGAGATTAAGATAAGAATTGTACAAAACAATTTAAATAGATTTTTAACTGCAGTGCAGCACACCCATATCTCAAATTTTTATGACTCAGAAATTGTTTTAAAAAATGCTCAATTTTTGGTGAATTAAATTCTTGGATTTTATTTGGCTCTTACTTTGCACCAATTACGGTCTATGGATATGGCTTAATATCCAGGCTAGCTAGCAGTTGATAACACAGAACTCATCTCATCTGTCATCCAAATATAGTTAGTCCGGCTCAGCGAAACCAACATGGCGGCAGTCAGTAAAGCTAACGAGACTTTGCCCTCTGGTTCTAACTGACATTTTATGTCCCGATGTCTATGCCATTGTAATAGTGTAGTCAAAATAAAGCAGCCACACATATACACATGTTCTACACTGTGCTACAAGATTTTCATTTGTAAAAAATGAGCAAATTCTAAAAAAAATAAATAAATTATTAGTTCAGAGAACTGTGGAAAAAAAAAACCCTGTAGGTTTTATTAATCGCTGAATGTGCCCACCCATACGGAAAAGATATATATAAATCTTATAAAGTTTGTATCTGTCTTGTGTGAAACTTGTATGAAAAGCATACAAGAGTAAAAACAGATATAAGATCCCTTGAAAAATTATATAATGAAACTTGTATGTTTTGGATACTTACTAAAACAATATATGAAAGTAATGAGAAAGTGGCCACTTTCATGAGTAAATCATATAAGTTTTTACTATTTCTTTTCCATATGGGCGGTACAGTGAGACCTGATCTAGAAGACAAATTGAGTTGTAAAAATCTGTCTGGTGCCTCTTCTCCTCCTTGAACTGTAAAGGCCAAGGGCTTGTTGTTTCTATTGAGACCTATGTTGCTGGTTCTAAGCCACTGACCTGCCCTCATTTTATTTATTTATTTATTTTTGAGCAAGACGGTCAGCCAAATCCAAGTCAGCTTCTGGTGACCAAGCCAAAAAAGGCAGCCAGTAAATGCGCGAGAGAAACGTAGAGCTGAGGAAAAGAAGTTTGAGCTTTGTTTCACAAGTGGAGCCAGAAGTTGGTGATTTGTGTGAGGGGTGCCCCCTGCTTGTGCTTCCTGGCACATCTCTGGTGAAGAGGATGATGAAGCTTACTTTTTCTTTACTTATTATATATTGTGCGGTTGTGCAAAGCTAATGTACAGTGATTAAGTCTTTTTGGATAATGTATCACATTCTACAGGAAGAAGTCTTGGTGTTTCTTCTGTAAGGACTAATGCCCAGGACATTAGAGAAAATACATGCACCAACACTAAAAGAACCAGCACCAAGCAGAAGCTCCAGAGGCTGCATGAAGCCTCTCCCCACCCCCTCCCAGGATGGTGCTGCTGGATGTGGGGGTTATAAGGGCTGAGCAGGACCTTCCATCACCCAGACAGCTGCATTGTTTGCTGGGCTGCAGGGACAACTACCGACAGGTACACGGCTGGGACGATTCACACGCCTCAGCTTCTTGATTTACCGTCCGTCTGTCCCCTTTGGGCGTGCTGGCATGTGGGGTTACTCCACCCTGGGCTTCATATAGCCAAAACTGTGTGGATGGCATTAGCACAGTGTCCCAAAAGCAATCAGTGTGCCAGAGACATGGAGGATAAAATAATCACAGTGACAACTTTAGATTTACTTACACAGCAAGATTGTACCATGGATTCACTGCTTACAATGTGATTTATTCACATTTATTTATTCAGATAGAAGCCTTTGTGTATTTTAGCTGCATTGTGGTTTCTGAGTGTTTGCACAAACACACATTTAGTGGATCTCTGACATCACAAGTGTTTTGCTTCTGCTGTGTCATTGCAAACAGTTTAGAACTCAGCATCTAACATTATATCTAAAAGTACATACCATGGAATAGCCGTAGGATCGTGTGTCAACTATTTTTATTATAGCATTCATTATCATTCTCAATATGCAGTTGAGCGTGTCGTGCACGGAGCACTGAGGGACTTTTGTTTTGGCACAGTCTTATGCAACACAGTCCCACTGGAGACTGGAAAATAGTTAGGACATTTGGAATATTAGGTTGTGTTCCCCTTTTTATTTTTACTCACCTGAATATGATCTTTTATCAGATCGGTCTAATATCTACTTATTCACTGTTTAACAGTTTTCCACTGTTAAGGATATAACAGTAACACGAGTGACCACATGATTTATTAATAGAATTGTATGATTACGTTTTAAAAAGATCATATGTGTTAAAATGCAATCGTTGCCAGTTTAGAGTTGTTTGCCAGGATTTACATGTCCCACCGAACCCCTCACAAACAAACACTAAACAAACTTCCTATTGAAATACATAAGTTACAAACTATCGTGAACAAACATCCATTTCATGCCGTGAGACCCGGCTGTCTTATCTCATGAATCAAACCCGGCCACAGGGACTTTTGACCTGGAGTCGTTTTCAATCTTCACATCTGCTCTGAACTCTGGTAACATGTTTGTTTTAAAACTGAACAAATCTTTGCTCCCCCATGACCCCCATAAGAAGGCTCCAGACATGCTAAACATCCTGCCAAGCAGCAGGAAGAGCCCCACATCCACCCCTTCTTTTTAGTTTGCATCTTGAATCCTCGGTTTGATCTCTCACTAAAGACAATGGCAGGTGTTCGATGTCGACAAAGGCTACTTCGAGTCTCATGACTCAGGGGAGGAAGAAGGAAAAGCACTTTTGCATTATGAAGTCCCAGATCAGGACTACGCTAAAGTGGAGAGCGGAGTGGGTTCATATCTTTGAGGAAGTACTCAATGATAATAATAATAATAATACCCTGAAAGGCCAGAGCAGGCCAGGAATAATTTTCAGGAAAAAGGCTTCTGTTGTGCTTTGATAGAAAGAGGCGGGGAGAAAGATGGGGGCGAGAAAGCAGAGGAGCAGGAGCGGTGGGGGTGCGCGATTCAGACAGGAAATTCCACTAGAAAAAGTTGGCCCGAGTCCTAACTACACAGCACCGTGCCAACGGCTATACACAAACGCTCATGTGCTTGCATACACACTCACATTCACAATTACACAGACAGACATTGATTTGTTCTGCAGTTCGGTCTCCGTAAGCAGACGTCCAGAAAGTGACTGAGACAAACGTGCCGCTCGGAGCTTCAACAGAACTGCCCTTTTCAAACACACACACTGCAGCAAGTGCTATGCTCAAGGTTAATAAAAAAAGTGTGTGTTTAGCCTAATCCGGGAATCCTGCAGTACACACACAACATGAAACCTGCAGGTTTAATTTGCAAGACTTCGCTTCCTCTAGGGCAGTACATGGGCGAGTGATGGCGACAGAAGGATTAGAGGCTTACAGGAGAGCACGAAAACCACTGCCATGTTTGAAAGGAAGTCTTAACAGGGTGGCTCTTTACTTTTAACAACCCTCAGGGAAGGTAAAATGATACCTTTTTTATTGATAGGGGGATTCTGGGCAGAAGGTAAGTGGATTAGGCCAGTGGTCTCCGTAATGACACAAGATGGTTTGAGCGGAAATTCATTAGTCCCTGTGAACTCCTGCTAAGTCTGTAGATGTTATGGTGTACACACCAAAACGCTCGCAGCCTGGAAGCACTGACACAATTGTTTTCCAGAGGTTTTGAATCATCAGTGTAACTATGTTATGGAACATCAGGATATTG